TTTCTTGTACAAATCATCGTTGCACATCATTTGCATTTGCACTTCAGTACGTTGCAGACTGACCGACTGTTTGTGTCTCCTTCTGAATGCAGAGACACATGTACAGACCTGTTTGGTCACGCTACACACAGCAACCTACATTCGGTTTGTCGATTAAAATGAACATAATCAATGAAATTCTTAATGATCAATTATCGATTAATCGACTAATCATGTCCATCCCTAATATCATCCTATCAATCTCTCTCTGTATATGGTGTTAAATGCAGTAGGATCACAGGCTGTAAAGTTGTGAGTGCGAGTGTTTCCTGTCTACAGTAAAACCACTGGCCACTGCACTTCTAGATCTCAGAGCTCTGCACTTCTAGTTTAGATACAAGACAAAACTGAGTTATTATTATTTGTGAAATGTGGTGCAATACTTCAGATTCATGATTTTTAAAGCGTAAAAGATTGGAGATAAAGTCCACAGGAAGTAGAGTCGCTATCGCTAAACTGCAGCTTCACACACGCGCTGGATGTAAACAAAGAACAAACGGTCGTTACTTTCAAAGAGCGACTCAAATGGATTAATAGTGCGGTTTTGTCGACTGGAAGTCATTATTTGCAGAGGACAAATTCTATGGATAATACAGGGTGAGTAATAAAGTCTTCTTATTGAGCTGGCCCAAGTGAATTGATCGGTTAGGATGTATGTTGTTTTCCGCAGATCACCTTTTTTTAAAATGCAAATGACTGTTTCCCACGGCTCTCAGTGAGGACATTTTCCCACTGTCTGATATCCTCTGTGTCCAAAAGTATTCTCTGATCAAGCGTTTTGCATCGACTTATATGATATATGATATATGGGTGCACAAAGTCTGGAGTAGTACTGACGGTTTGGTTTCCTCCCCTTTTCGAAAGTTAGAAACACGTTCAGTAAGTTTTCCAGTCGTCTGGAACATGTCATTGACGTCTGCATACGTCAATATGCGTTGGAGATAAGTTCAATATAAGTTACACATAGGTTCAAAACACGTTACTCATTAGTCATGGGTCCGCTAGATATTTTCTCAACATATTTGGACTTATGAGAAACTTACAATTAACGTGTGTCATCGATTACATAACTTACCTATAACTTATGACCCGTGTTTGCAGGACGTATAAACATACGCTCACATACGTCGAGAAATTTTCAGCATGCTTAAAATTTTTCGTCGACCATGCTGTATGTCGCCGTACGTCAGCGTGCTCAGACCTTATACAATACTTACTTAGAACTTAACCGACGTACGACAGTGTATTTGCCAAATTTTTCATACGCGGTATAAACTCTCGAAAGTAGGGATGGACGTTACTTTTGGGGGTCATTTTTTCGATACTGATACTTGAAGAAGTCTAACCTTAAATACTGCTTCTAGTTTGCTATTTTTGAAGTAACGTTCCTTTTACTTTGTACAATTTTTGACTACTTTACCACCCCACGATAACTGATTCACTGAATAATTGTGTAAAAAAAGAAAAGCTGAATATATGTGGAGTCTGTGTGTTCAGAACGGTACCTTTTTTAAGATTAGGATACTTTTTCACCTCGTCTGCACGCTTACGGTAAAATACACTTCAGTAACAAACTTCCCAAAACTTCAAGTAGAGAATAAAAGTGTGAGCAACACAAATAAACCACACTTTGATGTATAATTCCTCCTCATCTTTGTGCAGGATGAGAAAGTAGTCCCTCTCCAAACCGTCTTCAAGGAGAAAAGTGAGGAGTGATATTTGGGCGCTTGGAGCTGTTTTCCGCTGTTTTGGTGTAGGGACACTTCATGCAAATGCACAAGAGGCCACATATCCTCCAGGGGGCACTAGAAACATCCAGGTTTAGTTTAGTTTGTGAGCAGATACTTCACAGCCGTCTACTCAATAAAGAATGTTACAACTCCATTATGGTTTTGCATTAATGTGTCCCCAAAAATCACTGTTTTTTTTTTTTTTCCTTTTGCTAATCAGAACTGAATCAAAAACTAAAGTACCAATATTTCTCTAGTTTTTGATCTATATTAACATACTTGAAGTTGTGTTTCATTCATATACTCTGCATATTTAGGTTGAGTTCTTCTCTCAATCGGAAATAAAGTTGTTCCATTGTGTTTTTAAACGTGCACATTGTAACTTTTCCATTGGGGTGATTCAGTCCAACTTGCTTGTTTCTATAAATATGTCATTGCTCTGCCTGGAATGTTCCACAGTGTGACATTAAACAGCTCAACTTTACATTTCTTCAATTACAGGTGGTTTTATTGCTCAAAAATACCTAGAAAAACAGACATTCTGACTGATCTGACCTGTAACTTCATCTGGTTTGGTCTTCATGAACACTGCAAGGTTTAATGCCATACTGTGAAACATTCCAGACAAAGTAATAATATCTCCATGGAGAAAAGCATTTGACAGACCCTTTAAAAGAAAAGTTACAACATGCACCTTTAAGATTTTACAAAAAGTTTAACAATTTCATTCCCAGTTGGGTCATTTTTTAGGCTTAAAATTGTACTTTGTGGCTGGAAATTTCCATATTCTCATTTGTTACCTAGCAACCATGTTTTACACTGGGCCAAAGCTCATCTAATGTACACAGAAACTAATATTTGACAAATAAATTGATAAGAAAACATCTTTATTTTGTTGAAATCATGTTTAAAGTATACATTTTTGAGTGTGGTAGAATTCTCAAAAATAAACTAACAATAAAAAAAGGCAACAGCTTAAGGTCATTGTATTGTGTTGTATTGTAGAGTAAAACTGCTCAAATAGCTGTTAATGTTAAAACTACCACCTAATGACATCAGAAGGTGGAGCAAAGCATCTTGAGCTTTGGAGGTGAAGACAGCCAAGTAAATCAGAATGACTCAAACATGTGTGAATGAAACAAAACACAACTCCAGGTCTGTTTTTGAGAAGGGAACAACATTATAACATGGCTAAAATACATTTGACATAATATAGGACATACTATAGAGGACCATAAATATTGGTTAGTTGTTAGCTCAAATATCATCTTTACACACTAATTATTAAACCCAAAAAGTGTACAAACTCAACAGTGACTTTTAACAAGGCTCTGACCTCACCTACGGCTCGGTAGCAGCCAGAGCTCTCTTCATTAATCATGCCTGAGAGGTAATGCTAACAGCTGTAGGAACACGCTCCGCTACTCTAAAATCGCTCGAGCTCTGCCCAAAATCAGAAGATTGTGATCTCTGCTTTGGTCGATCTCCACGATAAGGCAAGCACATTTAAACTGACACATCTCCAGTCAGTCGTGTAGCAAGAAGAACTCGGTGTGCTGACGAGGATTTACTACTCTTCACATGTTCACAAGTTTTGACTTCAGTCTATACAATCTGATGATAAATCCAGTGTCTGTTTGTGCTCTACCCTACTACTCCCTCCCCTCTCTGATCCAGCCACAGCTCCACATCTTAATAATAATACTACCAATTTTTCCGGGCTATTAGGTGCGCTCTTAAGCCTCTAACCCCACCAAAAATACAACTGTGCGCCCCGCAATCCAGAGCGGCCTATACATGAATCCACTCGGGTGTCCCAGCACGACTTCAGTAAACTACAAAGCCGCACCACCCGCAGAACACGCAAACACACACGGAGCAGACAGCGACCGCACAACAAAACACACCCACAGACACACTCATCACTCCACGCCGACGAGGAACATAACGGAGGAACAAACCGAAAAAGCAAGTCCAATGTGCCACTTCTAGACACAACTGAACAACTGAGTCACTGCGAACACGCCGACAATCCGTTGGTCCCAGACAGCACCCTCCCTACACGCCACAACTGAACAAAGCCCAGAGTCACCGTGAACGCCACAAACAAACAAAACCACTCACCCATCCAACTGTTGTGTTTCCTTTAAAGTCCGGTGCGGTTTATTTGTGAAAAAAGTTTGGAAATAGACCATTTAATGACAGTGCGTCTTATAATCCAGAGCACCTAACAGCCCAGAAAATACGGTAATAATGCATCAGTTTTATACAGCGCTTTTTCGGACACTCAAAGCACTTTACAGAGCATGATTCATTCACTCCACATTCAGTGGTGGTAAACTACTATTATAGCCACAGCTGTCCTGGGGCAAACTGATGGAAGCGAGGCTGCCAATCTGCGGCATCGGCCCCTCCGACCACCACCATCACTCACACACACACCACTTTCATACTAGGCAGTGTGGGTGGCAATTGTGTCCTTAGGCAGGACACTTCACCCACATTGCCTAGTATGAAAGTGGTGTGTGTGTGAGTGATGGTGGTGGTCGGAGGGGCCGATGGTGCTGATTGGCTGGCAGCCGTGCTTCGTCAGTATGCCCCAGGGCAGCTGTGGCTACAATAGCAAGCTCATCACCACCACCGGATGTGGAGAAAAATAATAATTAATCTATTAAAAAAAAAATAAAAAAAAAGCTCTGTAAAGCGTCTTTGTGACATATGTCTGTGAAAAGCGCTATATAAATAAAGACTTACTAACGAGATCAGCCTTTGACAAGCCAATATGGCCTTTTCATCCTCATCCTTTCTCTCCTCTAATGCTTGTTATGATTATAATCCAAGTTACATACGTAAACAACTGTTTTCTCACCATTTGTGAGTGAAACTAAAGTCCTGATTTAGCGCACGCACATCACACGTGTTTCTGTTGATAGCAGTAGTGCGTGCGTGCATTTAGGCTTAACATATTGTACAAACTAATTATTTACATGTGGATTTCTCTGCAGTTATTGTTCCTATCACATCCTGAAGTCCACCTGTCTATGTTTTCATTAAAATAGAAGAAGATCGAATCAAAAATCTTGACTGATCAATGTGGGGGCAAAAAAAAAAAAAAAAAAATCATGATTTCTTTTTTCCCATATCCCCACTGCACACAACCAAATCAAACCGGTGACCAAAACGACCAGCGCACCAAACCCAAAGCACTGAAATCCACTGAAAGCCTCTTACCGCCAGCAGGATGGGCCGGCTCTCCTTGACCGCGCCCACACAGCCCAGGCAGCCAATCACCATGATGATGGTTCCCACGGCGATGAGCAGGTTGGCGGCCGACAGCGAGGGCAGGGAGGACGAGAGCGTGGCGAAGCTGCCCTGGGTGACGGACAGCCACACGCCCACCCCGAGGATCCCGCAGCCCCCCAGCTGTAGAGAGAGACAGAGAGAGAGGAGAGAGTCAGCTGCCAGGGCCCATATGGAGCAGTGGAACAGGGTATGACGGAGTATTATGGGATGTGTCACAGAGAACAGTGCAACGTCAGTCACACGACATGTCAGAATCAGTCCAGAGGAAGTGAGCGCTGCTATGATGATGTTCGCAAAGTCCAGAGAGGCCGGAATAGAACCACAACGCAAGCAGAAGTCAATCACACACAAAAAATAATAAAAGAGCTTTTCCAGATCCTCAAAACTGGTTCATCTTTTATTATTCCTTCCCTCCGCACAAGGACCACTCACACACTGACTTCACTCACACATGCTGGTGCGTTGCCCTAGGACACAACAACAGGATTCACAGTTTGAATGTATCAATCTACCAGTTAAAAGAGACATTCTACTACAAACTGTAACAGCACTATAACTATTAACACTACTGCTGCTACTTCTGTGATCAAGTACTACTACTATAACTACTTCTACATGACATGTACTGCTACTACTACTACTCTTACTACGACTTCTACTACTGCTAAAACTACTGTATTAACAACTAAATCTACTGTATTAAGAACATTAACAGACTGTTTAAAGAAGTGGACTAAGGGAGTGTGACATCACCAGTCCAGTCAAATGAAGCTTATCGATGCTGAAATTATATGAGCGAATTTGGAGCCAAATTTTATATTTGGAAATCTGACCACAAAGTATCATCAGTAGCAACCATAGAACCATATTTTTATTTAATTATGAAGTAGTGAAATAAAAAGACCAGCATCATGTTAAATTTTTAATAGAAAGTCAACTTATAATTATAATTGCGATAAATTAATCACAAAGAAAATACTGCATTAAAAACATTAATGCTTCTGCATTTCATTGCAGTTTGCCAAGCAACGTGATACATTTGTCAGTGCACCATGTCGTGGCAATAATACTGACGCACACAGTTCCAAGTGATGGAGCATGAAAGCGTTCTGGGTCTGCTCGACGGTAAATTTCAATTCAAAAAGCGACTCGATGGACGTATTGACAAAGGCGTCATTTATTGCAAACTGTGCAAAAAAGAGTTTGCATATCACAGAAGAATTGCTGGAGCTGTTGGCGGGAGCAGTTCTGATCCGAGTACGAACAAGAGGCGTCAGCAGCCAAACTCCAACAAATGACTGGACTCAGGAAGAAAACAAATAAGTCAATATCAGAAACACTGACAACTTCACTCGAAAGTGGATTGTCCAGGACTGTAGACCAGGATCAGTGGTAGAAGACAAGGGTTTAGAAAATGTGCTACAGAAAGCGACATGTGATCAAAGTTTTCAAATGCCGTGCAAAATTCTACTATTTTGAAATGAAATGCAATCAATGGTGACACTTTAGTTTAGGGACCACAGATTCACCGATAACTAAGTGCCAATCAGTCTGCTAATTAGCTGTTTAAATGAACTATTAGTTGGTATTTATCACATTAACACTTATTAATTCTTAATAAGACTTCAGTGTTCACAAACATCTGTTGTAAACCTCACTACTGTAATGCGAAGAAAATGGATTAAAGGGCTCATCTCATGCAAAATAACTCTTTTCACATTGTATCTTCTGCACATTTACAAACACAATTTGGGTTTTGGAACATCCATTACACAATAGTTATGAAATCTTACTGATTTCTTGGAGACAGTCACAGACCAGGAACTATGAAAGGCCGACTATTGCTCATTACCCCCCGCCCGTCCTGAGAAAGCACAGGCTCCACTCTCCAAACTTGACGTAGACTCTGAGTGAGCCGCCCTTCCTCCGCCCATCTCAGGGAGGGAGGGGGAGACAGACGTGCACCCTGATAGTGGCAGGAATAAACTTTTATTCATCATGATGATACAGCGCGTTCAGCCGCATGTGTTGGACCTGGAATCGGACGAGGATTTTGAGGTGCACGAAGCTCAAGCACCGCGTCCACATCAGCTGAACATTACTGATTGGTAAAGTATTAATAAACACTAGTAGATAACTAAACTAAACTATGGCCTGTGGGCAAATTTTTCTTGGCCCTCAGGCTTCCAGGTGAATTGGCCCAAATGACCTTCCATCAATAAAAAATGAACTTTTTACTGTAAGTTTTTTGAAAATCTACCTTGATAAAGCTGATTTTTGATATTTACTTTGTGGTTTTAAGGATCTTAGCATGAATAAAGTCTGATGGATCATTCTAATGTGTTAAAAATGCACATATTTTAATGATTCCCTGTATTGAGCATCAGTCTACAGCCCTCGATCGGCCCTCTGCTTCATCTGTGTTTACATATGTGGCCCTTGATGAAAAAAGTTTGGACACCTTTGGTTTAGGTGTTCATGTGGGAATTGTCAGACGATGCGGGGTGGAGGCGGGGCGGAGGCGGTGGAGCGGGGGACAGGGGCGGGTGCTAAGCGCTTTCTGCTCATAGGTGTAGCTGCCACATCATCGTTGTAGCAGCTTTAGTTCATTGTCATGTGGCAGGGTGGCAGAAATACCTTGCAATTTGTTAAAAAAAAAAAACAACAACAACAAAAAACAAAACGCCAAATCAATCTAAAAACCACTTCAGCTACATATACAAGGCCCACACATCACTCTTAGAAGGTAGAAAGCTCTGAAAAGTTGATTTTGCATGAGATGGGCCCTTTAATGTTTTTCACAATACGGCTTTAGACAAAACTGCATTGAAAGTACTTTTTAAATACTAATAAACATGTAATTAGGCACTTATTATTGCATTTTACATTTTTCATTAGATAACTATTGATATGTGATGTTACCCAATTCAGTTTTTCAGGACATTTTTCCAGACATTATAAGAGCATGAATTTAAAAGTCATTGAGTTTTATTTACATTAAATAAGTGTTGCATTTGGGGCTAATATTGTTATGTGATTAATTGAGATAAAATGAGAAAGCCTGTAATTAGTTAGATTGTTTTTTTAATCAAGTCCCACCCCTAGTTTATATATCTACTCATCTATGCTTCATATACATGCACTTGCTCTTATTTTATTTTATTTTTTAGCAAATTCAGCTGCACTCCCTAACTTCCTAACACATCATCCCCACCGCAGCAGCAAAACCGTCAAACCAGATCAAGTTACAGGCCAGATCTGTGTAGAGGCGACGCCGATCACAGTCAGAATGTCAGTTTTCTATGTATTTTTGAGCTATAAAACCACCTGTAATTGAATGTAAGGTAGAGCTGTTTCATGTCACACTGTCTCCATAGAACCCAATGGGAAAATCCAACATGCCGCCGCGGATGGATTCAGAATCATCACTATTCCTCGCACGCGCTCGTTGATTTGGGTTTGGGTTGAGCTGCTACCCCCAGATTACTTGAGCTAATCCTCCACAGATGGCGTGTTAATAGCAGGAAACCGGCATCAGACAGTTAATTATCCGTGTGCCGTTCCTGGGAGCTGAATATTAAAAATCACTTTCACATACTCATCCCGTGACTGTTCCACCAATGCAGAAGAGCCACGTTCCATCACCGCTCACACCTTTGCAAATGTAAAAGTGTTATATTAATGCATTCCAGTTGATCAAAGTAAAGTAAAGTAAAGTCATCATACTGGTATATTTTTGGAAGGTGCTTGATGGTGATGTTCTACAGTACAGCATTAAACAAATACACCTTTAATTACGTGTGTTTTTATTTCTCAAAACTACCGCAAAAATGTACATTAGTAACACGAGTGGGCCCACGTCTCTGCCGATCTGACCTGCGACTTGGCCTGGTGATGTAGCTGCTTGTCTCCATGGAGAATGGAAATAGTTCAATTAAATGCCATACTGTAGAACGTTCCACGAAAACAGCAACATCTACATTTGGAACTGCAGAACACTTATATAATCTCTTGTAGCACTATAACTATACTAGTAGAAGTAGTGGTATCAGCAGTAATAATACTGATAATCTTATTAAAAATATGATTAATTTCCTAAATCCTATTAAAAAAAACACACAACTGTCCATCTATTTTCTTTCGCTTATCCGGGGCCCGGGTCACAGGGGCAGCAGTAAGCAGGGACTCCCAGACTTCCTCCACCCTGGACACTCCAGCTCCTCCGGGGGGACCCCCAGGAGTTCCCAGGCCAGTCCAGAGACATAGTCCCTCCTGGGTCTTCCCTGGGACCTCCTCCCAGTGGGACATGCCCGGAACACCTCCCAAGGGAGGCCCCCAGGAGACCTCAGCTGGCTCCTCGCAACATGGAGGAGCAGTGGCTCTATTCCAAGCTTCTCCCGTGTGACTGCATTCCTCACCCTATCGCTAAGGGAGCTCCCAGACACCCTGTGGAGGAAACTCATTTTGAGCACTTGTATCCACGATCTTGTTCTTTCAGTCATTACTCAAAGCTCATGACCATAGGTGAAGGTGGGAACTTAGATTGAGTACTAAATCGAGAACTTTGCCTTTCAGCTGAGCTCCCTCTTTAGTGTCTCCACATATTGGACTGATATTGTATTGCACTGAATCTCATATTTGTGAATGACATTATTATTTCAGTGTCTGATTTACAGGCACCCGCAGACTTTGCAAATGGTCTTTTTTTGTAATTAATCCAGAAGTGAGCTGTAGAGATGTAATGATCTCCAAATCTCACGGTACGATATTTCATGATATACATCTCACAGTATGGTATTTATTATGATATTTTGTGGAGGCAAACATAATTGTGAATATGCTACTTTTTCCTCTTAAAATGCCTTGACAAGATTTAATCCAAAGAACTAAGATTTAAAAAGTGCTTATAAATGCTGTTTCTTCATGTAGTTTGCACCAAAGTAGAGCAAAGGATCTTAGTCGATGTAGTTCCCTCTGTTATTTGAACTGTTGCTGCAACATAACAATGAAATTAAGCAAAGAAACTTGAGATTCGATATATTGTGATGGCCCAGGATATTACTGAGAGACTTTTGACGATACAGTATCATGATATTTGAGTTATTATTACATCCCTATTG